CCAAGGGGAATCCCCATCCTCAAGCTCCTGGCAGTTCCCTCTCTGGCTCCTGACCAGGCCACCTGTGTTTGAAAGTCCATGGGACTTTGCTTGGGTTTCTGTGTTATTAATCCTCCCCGTGAGAAATCCCATGCTGTTCTGGACCTCTTCCCTCTGTGCTAGGCCAGCTGCCAGGGCTGTGCTGCTGCTTCATGTCAGCACAGGAGGCACTATGAAGCTGGTGTGCTTCCAGGGGGCCAGGGGAGCCCTGTTTTCCCCTTGAAGGCTGCAACCCGATGCTCTCAGCTGTGCTTGCCGTATACTGGGATACTTTTTTGGCCCAAACACTGAATAAAGCAGGTCAAAATCAAACCATCTGTCTAGATAACAAGTGATACAGATAAAAATAGACCTCTCTGCTCCTGATGTGTCCCAGCTGTCCCCATAGAGCTGCTGGGCAGCACACACAGGCTACAGAAAGGTGATGGAAAAAGGACTGTGCTGGCTCTGAGCACTGCGTGGCTCTGCAATGCGCCAACCAAGAGGGCTGTGGCTCTTATGAGCAGTCTCAATCACGTTTTGTGGCAGGAACACAGTTTCTCATGGATTTTAAGCAGAAGAGAGGAAATGCCAGTTTTCAGCAGAGAAGGATGAGGCAAAATCATGTAATCACATGTGCATGTTGACATAACCAGCACCAGAAGAGTGCTGTCCTTCAGCTGGTCCTTGGAGGCCCCATTTGAAACAGAAGCACTCCTTGCAATCTCTCCCCATAACATTCCTTCCCATAGCAGCCCTTTGGATACTGAGTCAGGCAAATCATCTCCCCTTTGCTGGCTGAGACATAAGCTGGGCATTTCCTTTTTCAGAAAAAGACCAAATACTCCTCTTTATTTTCAGGAGATCTCTTCTTCTTTCAGATAAGAAAACCAAAGACCCAAATAGCAAACACAGGAGGTATTTTTTGTCCCCCTCAGAAGTGTGTTTGCATCTGGGAAGCTCTTCTGGTCAGGGTGGGCATGACCAGCCTTGGACTCACACTGACTCTGATTGATTTATTCATGTGAAACGCTGCTGGAGGCAAACACCTGATATCCCATCCCAGTGCAAAGGGAACCATCCTCCCTCCTGGAGAGGGTTGTAGTACAGCCCTGCATCTTGGGGCCAACCTACCCCACCATGTACCAGGTTTGGAGGGGAATTTCCTAAGGCCTTCCTGGGGAGTGACACTCAATGAACGGAGATGAAAATACATTGATAACTCCTGGACCCACACAGGACCACCCAAACCCCCTGTCTGAGAGCAGTGTTTGTGACTACTGCCCCGTGTAGCCTGTTCCATGCCCACACATCCTATGGACGTGCCTCATGTCATGACCACAGGCTGATTGTTGCTGCCAGAATCTGGCTTTAAGTCACCTCATTCCGTGTGTTTTAGGCTGATAAGATGTAGTGCACTGAAGGAGGAACACCTTAGTTCGGAGTGATGTGAGGAGTGCTGCAATGGTGTTGTATAAGAGTGAAAAATCATGTTTCAGGGCAAGAACTTTGTTTTCCTCACAAAACAACAGCAGGAGGCTGTTGGCAGGAGGCTGGGAGCAGGGGTGGGTCAGAGCAGCTCTGCCTCCAGTGTGTTCCTTCTGAGGGGCCTGCAAGTTCATCCCTTACGTTACCAGGCGCTCCTTCTCCTTGTTTGTGTGGTGGAAACATATGAAAACAATTTGTGACTGTTAAGTTTCATGAAGCTCTGTGGACAATTGGGGTTCTGCATGCAATTTGGTTTCCACCTTGTCAAAGGCTCTGTGGGCTGCTCTGTGCTGGTTTATCAGAGTGGCTCCCTGGGGACTGTTGAGTGCAGCACTGCTGAGCTCCCAGTGCACGCAGCCCTCCCACTTGACTCCATCACCCTTGCATGATGGAGGTGGCAATATAGCAAAAAGATACTCCCAACAGTGATTTCTGATATAAAAACCAAACGGAGCTGTGGTTTTGGGACTGGATGAAGGTGATGTACATGCTGCTGGCCTTATGGGAGTGTCTGATGTGGCTCTAGCAAACCTCTGTGTGAGCAATGTGTGCTGAGCAATGCTCTGCAAGGGCTGGATGGAGAAAGCGTCAGCAGCAGTCCCAGGACAGAGGCTGAGCAGTGAGATGGAGGGGGACTGATTGGGCCGGGAGGAAAGAAACAGGGGAAGGGATGATACACTAACCAAATGGCTGGGGGAGAAGGTGTGAAGGACCTGATGGGAAACGCAGGAGTAACGGAGGGGTAGGGGAGACAAGAAAATGAGGCAGGGAGGTCAAGGATAGTGCAACGGCAAGAAAGAGCGAGGGGGCTGACAGCAGCGCAGCCAGTGCCAGCTGCTCTAGGGGCCGGCAGCATACACCTGTGCTGGGGAAGCCTCGAAGGATCCCGGGGTGGCAATGGGACCCCGAGGGCCGGCTGCGGTCTGAACACTGCCGATCTCTTCCGCCAGCACAGTGCCGGCAATGCAAACTGCCCAACTCCTGATGATGGGCTCTGCAAATGCCCGTCGGGGATCAACTCCGCAGCCCCCGGGCACGGCCGCTCAGGAGAAAGCAGCTCCGGAGCAGCCAAAGGCTCGGAAGTAACGGGACCGGCTTTTCTGACGGCACCGCGGTACCGCGCAGCTCAGCTCGGTGCCGGCGGGGGGTTCCGCCCGCTCTCCGAGGCGGACCCCAGGAGGGGCCCGGCCCGCAACCGGCAGCGGCGGTGCGAGGCGGGGAGCGGGAGGGGGGGCGGCCTCCGCGCATCGGGGGCCGCGGGCGGGGGCCGAGGACCGGCCGCTTCCGCCCGGCGCGGCGCATTCCAGCGCCGTGAGTCAGGCGGCGGCTCGGCGGGATGCGCCCCGCGGCCCCGGGCGCTCGCAGCTCCTCGGCGGGGCGCGTACCGCCGAACCCGGCGCGGCGCCCAGCGGCCATTTGCATGCCGCGGCTGTGAATGGCGTGCCCGGCCGGCCGGCCCCTGGCACGGGGGAGGAGTCTCCGCGCCCTGCTCGGGCCGTGCTCCGCGGCGGCGGCCCCTTAGCCGCACTGGGGCGGCCCGAGTCCGGCGGCTCGCCGAGGCGCTTCCCCGCCTTCCCGGTGAGTGCGGGGCAGGGGGGCGGTGGGGCGGGGGGCGCCGGGCGAGGGGCGCTGCCCCGGCCCCGCTGCGCACGTGAGTCGCGGGCTCCGTCCCGCTCCGCGGCCCCGCCGCCTCCGCCGCGGCTCGGCAGCCCCCTGCTGGCGGCACCGCCCGGCCCGGCCCCGGGGGCACCCCTCGGGCTCCCCCCGGACTCTCCCCGGGCTCCGTGCGTCCCGAGCGGCGGCCGCCCGGCGGAGGAACGCCGGCGGGAGAAGGCTTCGCGGTGCTGCGCGCAGGTGCCGGCTCCGAGCGCTGTCCCGAGCGCTGCGGCTGGGCATCTCGTCCTCAGCCCTCGGCCGGCGTCTCTCAAACGGGCACCGGGGCGCCGTCGGGTGCAGCTGTTGGCCTCGGACTGCTGTGGATCCTCGGCTCGTCCCGGTGCCGCAGGGGCAGCCCGGTCCTGTCAGCTCTCGGAGTCCAGCCAAGGCAGAGAGCAGCGGCGCGGGACCCGTTCAGCCTTTAGGACCGGGAGTGACAGGGTCTGCAGCGGTGGTTTGGGGACCCGGTGACCCCTGCGAGTTTGGCTGCAGGGAAACGAGTGTGTTCATGGCTCGCTTCAGTTGAGCCAGGTCCATGCTTGAAAGGCCCTCCCAGCCCCATCTCGCCATGCGTTCCCACCCACTGCTCCCCTGGTGCTGGCACTGATCGTTGGGCAGCTGCCTGGTGAGCTGAGCGGGTTTCGTGGCTTCTGTATGTGAGAGTTTTCCTCTGCATTCAGTCCCACATTGATTTTTTCTCACTGTAAGGAGGGAATTGCAGTATGGTGCTGGTTGAAGCTCTTGCAGAATTGCATCCTTAGAGCCAAGCCCTTTTGGGCTTCTCAGAAAGCCATCCATCCTCTTTCCCCTGGGTACCAAAGGGCCCCCTGAGTGCTTTTTGTCTTGTGCTTTCCTGTCGTGTAACTCAAGTAATGGCAGGGGCACAGATGAGGGTTGCCCAGTGCAACGTTCCCTGTGGTGCTGACTGCTCGTGCTCTCGCAGGTTGGGTTTGTGGTGGTGTTGGTTGGGGATGTCTCCAACAAGCAGGAAGTTGGTTCTTTTCTTCCTGTTTTTGTCCCCTTGGCTGCTGATTTCCTCTGGGAAGAAAGCTGTGCATTCTGCAGTAAAGGAAGAAAAGCTATATGTAATGGGAAGGGACGAGGCTGCAAAAGCTGGAGGAAGGGGTCCGAAGGCGCTTTGAAACAAAGCATGGGCTGAGGAGGGAACGCCGTGTTTTTGCTGTGGTAATGCTGATACAAAGACAATAAATGCAGGGCTGGAAGGGCCCACTTGGGGCTAACTGGGGAGCGGACCCTGGGAAGGAGAATCAGGTCTTTGCTCTGTGTGTGGAAATAGAAGAGCTGGAAAGCAACGTGTCTCTGTGATGCAGTGCTTGTGAGAAAGAGGTGATAAGCTGTGTTACATCAGTTGATACAGTTGGAAAGAAGAGGTGAGCTTTTAGGTGCTTCCTTCCTTCAAATTCTGATGAAAGGCTTTCAGCCTTGTGGCTTGTTTGCTGGTTGTCTCTCCAGTCTGTTGGTCACAGCTCAGATTCTCACAGATTGTCCTTCTCCTGCTGCTCGGCACAGAGACCCTCATTGCTACTGAGGTCTTTCCATGGCCAAAAGGGCTCTGCCATCCCTGTGCTGGGTGTGGGAGACCTGGTTTGGGCCGGGGAGAGGGGAGCAAGCTCTGCTGCTGTCCCTGAGCTCACTGTCCTGAGTTTCCTGCCAGGAGCAGCTCTGGTGTGGCCGTGTGTCAGTGCTGTGCCCGCTGCAGTGTGTTCCCATGAAAGGAGGTTAACACTGGGCAGTGTAAAAGCAACTCCCACAAAACTCGTTCTGCTTTGGGACTTCCCATGACAGACCTTTTTTTTTTTTTTTTAAAGCAATCCACTTGAAGGAGATCTGCCTACAAACTGGCTTTTCAGGTTCTGGGGAAAGCCGTGGCCCAGGGCTGAGCAACACCTTGCTCTGTGCAGGGTGGGCCTCAGCCGGGCTGCGGTCCCAAAGCTCGGGGCTTCTCAGGTCGGCCCTGGGGGTGATGCCCCATGGAGGGGAACAGCCCCTGTCGCTGGGCCGACAGCACGTTTCACTTCTGCAGTGGGGACTGAAAGTGCTGCAGCTGAGAGCGAGCACGAGGCAGGAATAGGAATTCCTTTTGGGATCATCAGTCCTGTTCCTCTGGAATCCAGCCCCAGAGAGTAGCCAGCAAGTCCCAGCATGTTGCCCTGAGCCAGGCAGGGTCTGCTGAGTGTAGCATGATAGGACAGTTTATTTCGGGCACGGAGCCCACATGCTTAGATATAAATAGTAAAGATTTGATTCCATTCAGTGTATTGGATCTTTCTGCAGTGTGAGCACATAGCCCACTTAGTCTGAAGGTCTGAGATGGGCAACATGAGCAAGAGTCCCGGGTTGTTTTCCTTTCCTATTCTGTGCACCCAACGACAGGGCTGGCAGAGCACCCTGTGTGCTGCTGGGGCTGCTGCCTGTGGGTGAGATGGGCTGGACATTTCTGTGTCTTCATCTCCAGAACTTTTTACCTGCCTTCCATAATCCTTGTGGCTTCTACCTTTCTTCCTTAGTTCTTTGTGCAGGCTTTGGCATCGTGTGGAGACAGTACACCCTTTGTGGAGATTCCACCCTTACTTGTGACCAAACACAATGCTTATTAATGCCCGCAGCCACCTGCCTGTCACCATCATATGGCCCGTTTGTACTTAAAACTCGAGGATGGATTCCTTCTTTTTTTTTTCCTCTGAGCTCAGATGGTGGAGCTTTGCAGCTGAGGAGGTGCCAGACCCTTTGTGTAACTTTGTCATCATCTGGTTGGAATGAAGCAGACAGGAACTGTGCAGATCTGGCACTGTTACCGTAAGGTTGCCTCCCTGCTGCTGGGTATATACTTGTTGTTTTAGGTAACCCGTGGAATGTGTGCATTGCCTGCCAGCTCACAGAGCTGTGTTGCATCCTCTCTAGCTACAACTTGCGTTGTGGGAGCTGCAACCTGGATTTAATGGCAATTACTGTGTCTGGCTCATGGGTAGAATGTCCCAGTGCGTCTGGAAAGTAGAACTGTAGATTGAATGGATGTTAGGACTTGTTGCTCAGTCTGTTAGTGTCCAGTAACTCCTCTCACAGGTCAGCACCCACCATGCAAGTGACAGAAGAGTATTTAGGGAGGATGTTCCCAGCCCTTGCAGCAGTCAGACCCCAGAGACAAGGAAGGCAACAGGCGAGTTTTCACCTTGGAAGTGAGTGGATCTATCAGGCACCATTTCCCATGGTTGTGTTCCTGTGTCCCTGAAGAGCCCTGAACAGATTCAGTGTGTGGATCACAACTTGCACTGAGATGCAGAGCCCCTCACTCAGCACAGGGAGGGCAGGGCACAGGGCTTGCCTTGTCTGTCAGACCTCCCTCTGGTTTGCAGGCAGTGCCATCGGGAAGGGCTGGGGCAGCTCTAAGAGTGAGACAGTAGCTGGTGGTGTTGGTGCAGGGTGTGTTGGTGTTGAGGTTACGTGTTGTCATGTCCTGTTAGCTAACTGTAGGGGCTTTTTGGTCCTGCTCATTTGGCTGCTCACCAGGCTAAAGGGAGCCCACTTAAGATCCCTGATGCTTCAATACTTGCAGCAATCCATGCTGCTCTAGGAATGAGGAAGTGGGTTTTAAAAAAATGAACAAAAAAACCCACAAAAAATACAAAAAAAAAACCCCAAGTGTTGAGATGATACCACAAAGAACAAATCATTAAAAGAGTTTTTTCACCCAAACTCTGGTCAAATCCTTACGAATAACAAACAGTGGCTGATTGCTGCACGGTGAAAGCTGAGTTTATTCTTCGTATCAACCTCCCCAAATGTTATGTAGTGCAAGTTTATTGGTTGTGTGCTCTGTTTGCAGTAGGGACAATAAATGCCAAATTGACATATGGCTTGCGTGTGCTAAAATTTCCTTTGGGCTTGTTCTTCAGCTCTGTAGATGCACCGTTTGTTTCAAACTTAGCTGAAGCTATTTTGTGTGTGCTGCAGAAACGTTAGACCTATTGCAGTATAGAGCAGTACACGAGGGTACTCTCTGTGAGGTTCTGGGGCTTAGTAGTCAGCAGCTCTAAAACAGTGCTTATTAAAGGAAATTTGACTTCTCAGTGATCTCAGAAGTGTGTTGCAAAAGTCTTCCCAGGGGAGAAGAGATCGGAAGGCATGCCTGATCATGCTTTTCTGGGTAGCCTACCTAGCTGCCTCCTCCCCTTCCTGTTTCCACTTCAGTGCAAGGCAGCCCCTTGCTCTGGTCAGCAGCAGTGTCTGCTTGGAAGGTTTTCCTTTTAGAAGGAACAATCTGGATGAGATCATCCTGAAGCTGCACAAGATGCTGCTTTTACTGTTCTGCAGGTCTGGCGCTCGCTCGGCTTTAACTTCGTGCAAGTTGTAGCAGCTTGAATTTTAAAATCTTGGGGACTCAAATGTCTGGGGTTGGTGAATACAGCTTCCATGTTTCAGGTGTTATTGCCCCGCAGCAATTGGCAGATGGGAGATATGTTTCTCCCTCACTTGAATGCAAAGATCAGTACTTTAAAGTGAGCTGCAGAAGACAGCTGGCTCCGAATTGCTTTGCCAAAAGGTGTGAGCATGCCTTCCCTTTCACTGGCTGCCCTGGGACTGGAAGCTCAGAGGGAGCAGTGGGGCAGGAGGTACCTTTCACTCAGACTGGACATTACATTGTAAAAAATGTTTCACTTTTTTTTTCTACTTTGTGAAACAAAGTTAGAATGTTGATCATTTTTCTTTACACTCTAAGTTGGGGCATGGAGCACACATGAATTTACATGAACACACACCTGCAGAGCAAGACCAGCTCTTCCCACAACTGCTTTCCCATTAGACAAGGAAAGAGAAGATGGATGGCCAGCTGTTGAGCCCCAGCAAGAGTAGAAATTGGAGCAGCAGGAGCATCTCCTTTTGCAAGAAGAGCAGTCCTCACTGCTGTGGGCATTGCTGGTGTGTGTGGGCTGGCTTTTCTAGTTGTATTCAGTGGAACAGAACTCCTGTCACGTTGGAGAAAGCAGATGTGTGATGCTTAGTGAGGATGCACTGCATTTCAAAGGAACGTGTAAAAAAATAGCCCGAATGGCTCAAATGCTGCTGCTTCCATCCCTCCTGAATATACAATGTCTTCTAGTGGCGTCTGTGTTTGTTATTTCCTCTAAGAATTTTTTTTAGATTGCCATTCACTGTGAATCTATGTAACTTTCCATAGGAAATGTTGTCATCTGCAGCAGTTTTGATCTCATTTGCCAGCGAGATATTTTTATTTAGCGCAACAAATAGTGATTCTTAGCTGCTTTTAATGCTGAGGTTGGTGCATGGGCAGCAGCTATTCCAAATGCAGCCAGAGCCAGCAATCTCTCTGCCTTGAAATTCATTCTGGTGCCTTGTTCTTAGCTTTCCGTGTGTTTTGAATTGCAGTACTTGTAATGAATGCTCAGGGTGCTAGAAAATCATAGTTACAAATGCAGAATTTCAATGAATAAGGATATCTTTTTTAAAATACAGGATTTTGTTGTTGTTGCTGTCTTTTGCTTTCTAATGTGGGATTATGGCTGTGCTGACAAAACCATTTTTGAACCTTACCTTACTGCATCATTGAGGCAGTGACTGTGCCCAGGGTACCAGTGGGTGAGCCAGTCCCTCGCTGTGCATACCCTGTGCTACTAATGCAAACCAGTGCAGTGTCTTCTGGAGCCCCAGTGAGTTTTTGCAGTGAGTTAAATATGTACTAAAATAGTTTCTGTGATCACTCTTTCCTGCTTCTTTGTTTTGGTGAGCTCCAGTGACGCCGAAGTACACGGTCCCAGGAGCCTGCTGTGCTGCTGCTGGGGAACCCAGGGCTCTACTGCCTCAGCCTAGGCACTTTTGGGAAGGCTGCAAGAACAAGGCTTGTTTAGGTGAACCTTTCTCTGCATAAACTTCCAGTGTTAGCAGTCGGTTATTTATAATTGGATTTGTTAATACTTGGGTTGTTAATGTGATTACGCTGTTATCCAGTCTGGCTGCACGCAGTGTGGCACTGGACCAGCAGCAGTGTCCTGATGTCCTGTATAAGCATACAGAGATGTGTCAGCTGTCTGGGGGCTGGTGGTGGATCTAGGTAAAAGCCAGCTCCATTTGGAGGATCAGGCAGTGGTCATTCACCAGGGAAAGGAGGTGCTGCTCGCTGCCAGCTGCTCAGCTACAGTGCTCAATGTGCTGTTGCTGGAGCTATGAGGCAGTCTTGCTATCAGCCCTTGCCCAGGTGCAGCCCATAAGTGGCGTGCCCTGAGCGAGGCATGAGGATGTGGCAGCAGAAGTGTGGCTATCACATGCCGTGCCAGGCTAGCATTCCCTATGCAAAGCTGCAGGGTGTGTTCATGGAGAAACACAAACAGGATGAAGACACCAGAGTGCTCCAGAATGCTTCCTGCTGCTCCCTTCTCTGTGTTGGTTGTGTTTTATGCTCGCTGCTCCCCTTGCTGGTTTCAGGGAAGGCTGTGGGTGGCTCTGTGTTGGGTTTACTCTCAGAGATAGAGCTGGGTGCCTGTTGCTCGCTATCTGGGCTATGTCTGGGCTCTGGAGCACATACTGCGTAGTGCCATGATGTTCTTTTGTCATCTGGGACACATATGCTGTAGGAGAATGGAAAAGGTGGTGCTTCTGCCCAGTCTGCTGTACTTGGCTGCTCTTGCTGGTGCTGCTGGCCTTTGGTTAGCAGGGGAAGCTTGGAAGCCCTTCTGTGGAAGCTCTCCGTGTGTGAGGCTTGGCTGTCAGCTCTGGAGAAGTCTGTGAAGTTGTTTTCCTGTCCAGCAACTCCAGCAAAAATTCACTCTGCCTCTGGTGAAACAGTAGTACTTAATTCCTGCCGCACTCAGCACCTGCACTGAGAAAATAATTTAGGCCTCAAGAGATGCAGAACCTACCACCTCTCCCTTGTGATAACTGCTAGCTTCCCACAGTGCTACAAATGTGAGGTTTTGGCCATGTTTTCACGATCACTTCAAACTGTGCTGCCTGGAGAAGCGATTCCATCATCTGGCTGCAGCTGCTCCTGCTGCTTCCCCTCTCTTTGCACTGCCACAAGTGTTCATGGAGCCACGCGGTGACTTGGAGCAGGGAAGGAGCCTGGGCTGAAACAAACCAATTTCTTTGCTGAGTGATGTGGGTTGGTTTCTGCACCAGGCAGCTGCAGGGGTGGCTGTGCCAGCACAGGGCAGCAGCTGGGGACACTGCTGCTGTTGGCTCGCTTCTCCTAGTGGCTGTGGTGTCTTCAGAGCTGGAATTTTAGTGTTTACTTCTGTGTTCTGACTCCTGCTCTGCCTTTTGTATGCTGGAACTAAAGGACCTGGAAGATGAGAGCCTGCTGTTTTGGGAATGTTAGCAGATTGCAGCTGGAGTCATCTTCTAACCTGTTTATGGAGAAGTGCAGCTACTGATCCAGCAGGCACCAGCAGAAATCAGGAGAGCTTTTGGAGTTTTTTTCACCTCTTCCATATGAGGGCATCAGACCTGCATGCCCTCTGCATGTCCTATGCAGAGCTGCTTTGAAAGCCCATAGGAACTCATTTTTAGTTGGTTTCCATCGTGATCCACATCTTCTGAAAATCAGGGAAATGAGTTGTTCAGAGGGACCTCGGATCTGCTTTCATGGTCATGTGATTGGCTCACGGCCATTTGCACCTCACTGGTAAATGTTCTTACAGCCTGTGTTTAAGACCCTCTGGCTCTGTGTAGCTGAACTTTCTCCAAGATCCCTGGTTCCCAGGTGAGGCTTTGCACTCCTTGCATCTCTTGCATACCAGTATCAGCCTACAGGGCTTTGCATGAAATCCAAAACCTTTTTTTTTTTTTTCCTTCTTTTTTTTTCTAATGCAGCTTTTTATCTCCAGTATTTCCTGTCTATGGGTCTGCCTGATGTCTTCCAAGACAGGAAGTTTCCACTGGTATTTCTCAGCTAATTACATTAAGTGGTTCGAAGTGAGATCCCTCAGTGCTGGCTTGGTTGCTTGTGTAGCCACAGAAATTAAAGAACTTCCCCATGGCTTCTGCATTCAGCCTGCCTTGCTGATTCTCACTGCAGCATCTCAGTAGTACTGCTTATGTTCTGCCTTTACACAGTCTGCTTTTAGAGCCATCTGCTCAAGCACATACCTTTTGTTTGAGCTCCTGCCATTGCCTCTGGATAGTGTGCCCTGAGCTGGGGTGAGGTGGGGCAAGCTGTCCTCCTGCTCTCAGGGTTTGACATCAGCATGAGTTGTCCCTTGCTTTGTGTCCCACGATTACAGCTGCTTCCTAGTCCCTGCTTGCTTTGTAGGCTGCGTTGTTAGCTTGTCCCCACAGCATCTCAGGATAAATTCACCTGTTTTTCTGACCCCCTGAGGGCATTCATCAGAGCTACCAGTGGGTCAGTGACAGCATATGTTTCTGGGAGGGAGATGGGGAGATGGTGTGCGGTTCCATTGGAGCCTGTGTGAAAGCTGTTCTAGCTGGGGGGTGTTTTGGGAGGCAGGTGACAAAGGCTCACACTTGGTTTGGTGTTTCAGCTAAGCTGATATCACAGTGAGCCATCACTGAACAGGCGGGTCCTACCCTTCCTGTCTCAGGTTGCTCAGAGCTTATCTGCAATTCTGAGCCTCTTCGCAATGTCAGATCAACAAGAAGTAATTTACTTTTGGATAGGGTTAGTTTTGTGCTGGTGGAACACCTTGAGGCTCACCGGGGTAAATCTGCCCCTTGGGCAGCAGCTCTGTAAAGCCTCACAACATCTCCGAGATCACTGGTGAGGAAAGCAGGAGAGATCCCACCAGGACAGGGTTGGTGCTCTTGCTTTATATCTAAGGGGGTTTCTTAGTGTGGGATGTAATGCAGGTTGTAATTCAGGTCTCAGCCAAAGCCTTGGTGGTGCTGGTTCCTCAACAGCTTTCTCCTGGCACACAGAGTCACAAACCTGCTTTGTCTTCTCCATCCCTGCCTGCCCTCAGCCCTGCATCTGGCTTGATTTAAAGGTCTGGCTTGCGCCTGGTGTTTGAGATAATCCTTGTAACTAGTTGGGTCTGATCCATGCTAGATGATGTTGTTGGCAGCACTGAGGCTGACACCCCGCTGCTCCGCTTCTCCTCAGACTCCCTGCCTTCCCCCTGTTAGCTGGGCCCACAGCAATCCTGCTGCCTCCCTGACTGCTGTCTGGAGAGCGTATCGAAGATCCTGACTTCCTTGCTGCTGTTCTGCTCAGAAGCCTGCTGCTTGCCTCAGCCAGGACAGCGAATGTGCCAGCAGTGCAGGCAGGTATAGAGCCCTTCTGCCTCTCTCCAGCTGTTTCTGACAGCCCCGGAGCTTCTGTCCTACCCAGTGTGGTAATCCCAATGTGTGTGCAGAGAGGATGGTAGGAAGAGCCTGGAACAGATCTGTATAGCCAGGATTGGAGTGGAGAAGAGGGTCAGGGAAAAACTATTTGCTCGTCTGGCCCAAGAACTGAGGCATCAAGTGAACACAGGAAGTATTGGGTTTAAAGATAAACTGAGGAGGACAGCTCATCACACAGCATGTGTTTCTGCTCTGCCACAGGCAGTTACGAGTACTAAAAGGCTGCAAAGATTGCATTGGTTTCTAAAGGGAGTTTGATAGATTCTGGAAGGAAAATCATCGGATGGATATAAAGATGAAAACAGAATGGTTAAATGCAAAGACGTCTCTGGCACAAGAAGTCCCTGAGTTATTCATAGCTCATGTAGTGTCTGTCCAGGAAGACATGACTGTCAAGTGATCCTGTGCTCTGTACTGATTGCCAGGCATCCTCTGGTAATGAGATACTGGATTTAGGCAGACACTTGGCCTGACCTTGCATGGCTATACTGTGTATGATCTTATCCTGCTGCTTTCAGCGATCTCTTGAAAATACTGATTAGGGCAGTACTGAGAAGTAGGGATTGTTTGAGGATATGTGACCATTCAAGTGAAATATGTGTCAATGCAATCAGCTCTGAAACCAAGCCTACTGGTCTGATTAAGTACATGGATACTGTATCCTGGAACACCTCTTGAAAATAGTCATGGTGTCAGTGTGAAACTCAGTGTTTTGTTGCTTGGTACTGAGGTATTTGCTTGCTTTGTTGCTCTTTTAGGTGATGCTTGGGCAAGGGGCAAGTGTGGGCACCAGCAAATCCCTTTCAAAAGTGCACACGAGCAGGCAGGAGCCCTCCTAATATCCTCGCTATCTGCATCACGTAGGAAGTTGGAACAGATGCTTTTAGGCACCTCTGCAGCTATAAATGGAGGAAAGTAAGGAATTGTGACCTTTTGTTGTGAGGCGTTGCATCTGTGCATGCAGGATGGTGGTGTGTGTACAAAGAGTATGTCTGTACAGGCCAGATTGTGAATTCCCAGACTTTTGGGGGCCTGTGGTATTTGCTGAAACCCAAACCTTCATCCACCTACAGCTGAGTCGTCCCTTCCCCTTGTTCCAGCTCAGCTGAGCCTTGTTCTCCTGGCAGCCAGCCCAGCCTGTGTGACTCTGCTAGCAGCTGGTCGTCACCCGCTTTTAGATGAGATTCTCCTCTCCTAACCCAGTCCAGGTCACCCTCCTCTCCCTTTTGTTGACCTGCTCCCCCTCTCCACCATGTACTGTTTGCACTGGTAAGCCTCACTGTTTGTGTGGCTCCCTTTCCAGAGCAGTTGGGGTGAGTTGTGGGAACTGGCAGAAGTGCCACAGAAGGCAGGTGGTGTCGGAGAACCAGAGCCTAATTTAGCCTGGAAGGGCCCTTGCAGGCTGTCTGGTTTGTGTGCTGCACTGCTCAGGGCCTTGTTTAGCTGAGTGCTGGATGTCTCTGGACAGACAGAGGTCTCACTGCCTCTCCAGCCCTGCCCATGCTCAAGGAAGAATTCCCACCTTACGTGTTAGATTTGTTGTGCATTCAGAATAAATTGTGTCAACGTTTTAACAGTGCTGAGCTTTAACCCAACGAGAGCTTTCTTCTGCTCCCTCTCAAATCGTGCGTACCTGCAAAGTTACTGGGATGCTCGTTCCATCTGTTTGCTTTGGGGAGAGAATAAGGCTGGCACCCTGCTGGGTTTTGTCTCCTGTGGGATCTGTGGTCTGGGACAGCACGGGGAAGCTGGGAAGGAATTGGATCTGTTGGCCCACTCAGCACATGTGCTTCCCTTTGCAAGCCTGCTATTGTGCATGTGCTAGGAAAGGAAGAAAGAAATACGTGCTTGTGGAGTAGCTTAAGTTAGAAGGCACTTATGGAGGTGTGATCTCATTCCTCCAGTGACATCAGTTTTCCTAACCGTTTCTATTAGCGTGTGCAGCAAAGTCATCACTCTCACAGCCTGGAGAAGTTGCTCAGTCTCTGTCTCACTGCATGCTGGAGAAGGTGGAGAGGTCGCAGAGTGGGCAAGGAGTCCCTCTGGTTCTTCGGTGTTTCTGTAACTCAGCTTTATTTAAATACCATATCATCATTATTTATGTATGAAAACCACTCTTAGAAAGCAGGCATTAATGCTGAACTGACATTCATGCTGCATTTGCATTACTCTGTGTGCTACTCTGTATTTCTGGAAAATGATTACATTTTAAAAGAGATTAGAAGAAGCAGTTATAAGTGGCCGCTTGCTAATTTCCAAATAGCAGTTAGTAGGGAAATGGTTCTGCTTGGCTTTGGGTGGGCAAGGGAGCCTGCGTGAGTCACAGGCTGTTTTTAGAGAGAGGTCAGCAGCTTTTAGCACTGCAGTTACTTAGCTGGTTGGACTGGCTCCAGATCTAATTAAGATATAATTATGACTGTTTCTTCTGGAATCTGGATTTCACAGTAGTCCCAGAAAATCTTAATGGGGAGTAACTCTGAAACTTGGAGCTGAGATGTTTGGCACTTGGCGTGATGTCCCCCAGCCTCAGAAACACTGCACGAGCTCTGATTTCTGAACCCTCTCCAACACTTGCAAGTTGTCCCAAGCAAAGCTCAGGTCTGTGAATGGCAGCCGGGAGAAGGTTGGCCTGGCCCTACAGCGTGTGCTGCATCAGGGATGTGTCTGACCCTTCCTCACATGTGATCTTTTCCCTCTCCTAGGCCTGAAGACAAACGTGGGACGATGTCGGAGGCACGGCATGACAGCACAAGCAGTTTACAGCGCAAGAAGCCACCATGGTTAAAATTGGACATCCCAGTGCCTGTGCCTGTGCCGGTGCCAGAAGAGCCAGTGCAGGTATGGGGACTGCGGTCATGCAGGGGGTGTGCAGAGTGTGACAGCATGCCTCTGTGTGGTCACCAGCAGCCCTGGCCAAGAGAAAGGCAGTGCTGTGTGTGACAGGTCACTGGGATCAGTAACAGGCTGCCCCTTGAAGGAGATATTGAGGGAAGATGAGTGTGTTTCACTTTAGATCAGTGGATGTGGCCATTTGGGTGCGAGGATTGTAGGGGGTGGATGTGAGAGTGACGTATCTAAACAAGAATTCCTTAAAGGAACTGAGGAAGTGAAGGGCTTCTAGAGAAACACCAACCTGAAAGTGCTGGAGTTCCTGCTGAAATGAGCAGGGAATTAATCTGACTTATGAGTAGCCAAGATAATGACAAGCTGTCATCAGTAACAGCAAAGAAAGAACAGTTACTGGCAACACAAAGTTGTTAATAGCATGAGTGCAAGAAATTCACATTTGAGGAGAAATAAGTGTTATTGAAGAGTGGTGGACTAGAGATGAAGTGATAGTTTATTTGGGACTTCGCAAAACGTGAGTAAATCACCCATGTTTCTGCTGGGAATAGGAGGAATAACAGGAATCTCTGCTTCAGAGTGGCAAAAGCTCTTACGTGTGGGTGAGATGACTGCTGGCTGCTCATGACCTTGCTGCGGGATAATAGACTGCCTGCACCAAAAGCAGGTCCAGGAGTGGAGTGTGGTGTCTGGGTTCAGAGAAATGGAAGGTTCTGCAGCTTCCCTGGAGGGGTATTGAGGGTGTGCTTGTCTTAAAATGGCATTTGTGCTGTTCTTGGAAGAGTGTGAACTGGTCTCTGCTGTTCTTTGATCCAGGGACAAAAATGGACTTCTGGCAGATACATCTTCGTCTTGGTCTTCCTTTGGAAGGAAAGAGATTGGGGTTCTTTTTGCAAGGATTAAAAGAAAACACAGGGTTTTAACTATGTAGGTTGATTCTGAATTGCTTAAGGCTTAGATGGATGTTCTCTTACCTGAAATCTCTAAATCCAGCTAGGCTTCTTCTGGAGAGGCACTATATTCTTACAGTGGAAGTTGGCATAGGTAATGTTCTCTGAAAGCCCAGTGTGTGGGAGTGCATACATGCTCCCATGGCTTAAATTCTGAGTGTCTAGGAATTGTTTTAACATAAAACTTTAAAATAAATAAATAAATAAATAAAATAAGAATTACTGAAAGTTTTTATCTCTCTGGCTGGAAGGACTAGAGTTTCAAGCAATTAGAGATAGTGTCTGACCAGAGAAGCAGTCGGTTCACTGACAAGTAAAGCAGAGGGGTAATCTGCTCAGTCTGTGTTTTAGAAAGGGGATGGTATCTGCCAAGCTAATGAAAAATTCATGCAGAACAGCCTTGGGGCGGTTAGTAGGATGGGCTGAGAGCAGTCTGGTGATTTGTGTCAGGTTTGGCAGGTGACATTCAGCCAGGAGGTGCTAGGAGCTTTCAGACCTGAGTGCATCCAGACAATTAGGTTATGAACAAAGCTGATGTGGCTTTCCCAGTTTGCTTAGCCTGTGCCAGGCAGCAACTGCAGCACAGACCCACCCACGACTCTCATAGTCTTTTAGTGCAGATGCAGAGCTATTTATAAAGCTAATTTCACTTGGCCCTGCTTGGTGTGCTTTACTTTGCATTGTGCAGTGGTCTAGAAGCTCTTGATCTCTGTTCCTTCTGGCTAGAAAAAAAGCCAGAAGGATGCAGGAGCTCCTATAACACACCCATCTGCAGATGGACATCAGTCTGTGGGCTAGGCTAGAGCCAGTCTGCACTGAAACTAAGAAAAAAAAAACCTCTGCAGATGCCAAGTTCAAGTGCTGACTGCTCTGTTCTGCAGATCCAGTCCTGTTTCTTCACATTAGCCGGTCATGAACTCAGTCCTTGTTAGGCTGCATGCACCCAGCTTGTGGCTTGGGCTGGGGGCAGAGGGGGGTTGTTGTGCTGCTGACTGAGTGGTTCACACCGTGGCTGGCCCTGTAGATCATAGTTCTTAGAATGCTGACTCCTCTTCTGCTTTCCTTTGCAGCCAACAAGACGCCAGGCCTTTCTACGAAGTGTGAGCATGCCTGCTGACAACAGCCGCGTGCCCTCCTTGCCTCATGAGGTGAGGAGACCGGTGCTACAACGACAGACCTCAATCACCCAGACCATCAAGAGGTGAGCTGCTGAGCTCCTGCAGCCTGGTTTAGTGGATTCTGCCATCCGTTGCTGTCCTTTTTTCATGGTCTTCTCATTCTCCCATTGCCTGGGACTTTAAGGCATGCTGTTAAAATAGTATTGAGTTGTCTTCCTTGTTACCTATCATGAAGTTGAGGTGGAGGGTGGGTGCAGATAGGTTCTCAGTATATGAGTCTGATGGTGCTATATGGCTTGCCTTTAATAAGTGAGGAGCAAGGTCCTGAGAGAAAAATAGTGCTGATCAGAACAGTGAATGGTCCTTGCCAATCAGAGATAAGTTTTGATTGCCCTTTGTCTGAAGAAGGTGGCTGTTTCAGGGCCTGATGTGTAGCTAACAACATATGATGCTGTGTCCACCAGGATCCCCAGAGCTTTTCTCCCAAGCTCCTTTCCAACTGGGTGCCCCCAGCATGTGTTGGTGTCTGGGGATGTTCCTCTCCAGGTGCAGGGCGTTGCACTTCTCTTTGTTGACCTTTGTGAGTTTCCTCCCAGTCCATTTTTTTTTTCTATCTGTCAGGGTCCCTCCAGAAGGGAGCACAAGCCTGGGGAGTATCCTGTGCTCCACAGGTTTGTGTCATCTGCAGACATGCTGAGGGTACACTGTCCCATTGTCCAGATTATTAATGAAGATATTAAATGGGATTGGACCCACAACTAACTCTTGGGATACACTGCTAGTCACTGTCTTTCAGCTAGACTTAGTGCCATTGCTCACCACACTCTGGGCCCAGTCATTGAAGCATTTATTTATCTACTTCATTGCCCATCCAGCCCTCAACATGGCCTGAAATCAGGCCTCTGCAAGTCTTTGTGTCAGGACAATTAGACAAGAGCCTGTTGAGGTTGAGGGGATATCCTGGGAGAGTGCTTTAGGGGCCTTGATAAGAAGCACTGCATGGAAGGGCCAGGACAGCCTTCTCCCCCGTAAGTTCTTACAGACAGGGCACATGGAGCTATAGTAAGCAAAAGAGGGCTGGACAGTGATGGTGAAGCTCCTGGATACCAAGGGAGATGCCAGTGTTCTACTTAGCATCAAGGCTATGGGCAAGCACATGTGACTGATGCACTGACAGACTCTGTGTCATGTCCTCCATGCCTTTATGGCCTGTAATAGCAGTGTTGGGGACCAGCTGGTGGCAGCATCCGTGCCTGTGCCTAACAGTCTGGGTAGCAGTTTTGTAATCCTGAATGCAGGGGGTTGATGCCATTCTGCAGTGCAGAGTTTTCTCACGGAGGCTGTTGTACAACATGAAGAGCAGCCAAGACTCTGTCCAGAAGGAATTGCAGCTTGTACATGGTTTTTGCAGTGCACTGTGGAATGCAGGTAGCAAGGCAGGCGCAGCAGTGGGAAAGGCTGAGAGACAGAATTACAGGAAATGTGTGAGACGTGGAACTAGCAATAAAAGCATGAAATAAATGGATCAGAAGCGAAGACAGGGAATTGGAAATTACTGAGGATAGCCTAAAAACCAGCGGAGGTAGGTGTGCAGTAAAGAACTGCAGACCATATATCCATAAGGGTGTCTTTGGGATTTATTTTGTGAGTCCAGGGAGGCTGTCTTCCAGGTTTGTTGCTTAATGCAACCCCAGTTAAACACAGAATGTGAAACTATTCTAGCAGCAGGACTCCATCCCTTCCTTTTCATGGGGCTTGGAGGACACGGATCAAGTATGAGCCTAAGGTCAACTGTGTGTGGTCCAAAACATAGGGCCATAGGAGTGATTCAGCTGCTTGAGTGTTGGCATCTAACACTGTTTCTGGTCTCCTACAATGTCCAAGATGTCCACACAAGGCAGCAGATGTGGCACAGATCCTTGTGCCTGAGGTGAGACCCTGCCAGGGTCAACCAGAGTGGCATCAAGCACCTGTATCCAAAGAGATCATATCTCAGCTTGCTGACACCTCTGGTGTTTCACTCTGTGGTGTCCAAAGCCATCTTGTGATATCTGAAGTTGTATGTCTGGGCTGAAGAAGGCGGATTAAAGAGGTCTGGGGGTGAAAGGGGATTGAAGCATCCGTGGTGTCATCAAGACCAGTGGGAGATTTACATCAGAGGTGCAGATGCACCAATGGGATTCAGCAACCTCCTGGATCCTGCTGTCACATGCATGGTGGCACAATTGCTGCTGATGGGGTTAAATAAAGAGATGGGGAAATGTTAGACATAGGTTGCTGCCTGCCTCCACAGCCCAGTGGGCTATTTCCGTTCAGCTTTCTTTTCTTTGCAGCAGACAGGTACGGTTTCAAAGGAGTCAGACCCTGCCTGTTCAGGGGAACCGGGTGGGCAGGAGTTCCCTGAGAAAGCGGCAGTCCCTGCCCCGATCGTTTTTCAGGTACTGGTAGAACTAAGTGTGCAACCCACCCCTGCATGTGTGTGCAAGGGCTATTGTGAACTGCACCGATTCTGGCTGTTGCTGAGACCACATTGCCTTCCAAGGCCTGACCAGGAGGCCTGCAAATGGATGGGAGTGAGAAAGTTCCCGTGTGCATCTAACAGAAAACAAGGTCACTCCTACTAAATACATAGGCAGATGTCAATAAATAGCATGGGACTAACAAACTGCCCACTCTCCAGCCTCACTTCTTTCTGTTTTTCCTAACAAGCTGACAACCTCCTGGTGTTCACCGTAACTGCAGTATTGCTCTGGGGCAGCCGCCGTGCAGCCTGTTCTTGCTAGCTTTAATGCAACATGTGAAATATGCGTATCTTGGTCCCAAAGCCTTCTTGGAGAGAAGAGGAAAGAGGGAAAGTTGCACCAAACAAATGTGGTTTGAATGAAGCTCAGAGCTGGTGAATTCAGTATAGCATCCACCCTTTTCCTGTCGACATCATGAATTTTCTAATCCTAACGTGACTGGCTTCTCTTTGAGGTGGAGACCTTTGGTTACGTAGCACTGAAGAGATGTGCCCTGGACTCTTGGAGTAGCTCAACAGCCCATCAGCCACCACCCCCAGACTAGAACTCAATGAACTTTTGAATGAGACAGACTTTGTGTTTGTCAGGGACTGGACCCAATGCCCAGATGTTCCTTCCCATCCTACCTTCCTCATCACTACCATTGCCAGGTGCCACTTTGATGGTGTGTTTGCATTTACAACTGCTGGTGTTTGGGCTTTAGCTTTCAGGGCTGCTTAGCTTAAGTTGATAGAAGAGCCTGCCCTTGGTACTGATTCATTGCTAGTTAGTTCTGCGGGATCTGTAGCAGATGATGGGGCTCCCTGGCTGGACAGAGCTCTCATTGTTTCTCCAGAGTGCTCCAAATGCTCTAAACTCAGTTCATAAGGTTCTCCTGGACTGTCTTGTGTATGATCAGAGTGGGACAGATTCCTATCCTAGTCCTGGGCCAGCAACGGTCCCTGGCAGTCTGGGAGTGATACTTGCTATGCAGAGCAGCTGTGGCAGTGCTTGTCCTTCCACACTAATGGGAATGCAGTTCCACAGAGCTCTGAGGCACAGCTCTTTGCACAGTGTTCATCAGCAGGCTAATAGTGGCCCCATGTACAGGCTTGTCACCCAGGGCTACCTTGGTGTCCAAATATTGGTTATGAAAGTTGGGAGTTGGGTTATAAGAATGTTTTGTGATGTGTGTTGTGCCTGCACATCTGCACAGCTGGCACATTGTGCCTGTTTGTGGACTTGGTTCAGGTGTAGCAGGCCAGGCTCTGACCCCAGGCCTGTCTGCTCTGAGCTGGGACAAAGATTGCTGTGGGTCAGTGACAGCAGAGCAGTGCTTTGAGACCTCCATAGCCCCTTCTCTGAGGGATGGCACCCAGTGACTAGCTGAAGAATTCAAAGGTTTGTCTCAGCGAGGGCAGGTAAGGCTTGCAATGGCTCACTTGATTTTGTGCCTGCTGGAGGGCCTGTTCTGGGTCTCTGGGAGAATAAGAGTGCTTTTGGCAATGGTTGGTGGTTTGCATCTGCAAGTGTGAGCTGGAAAGCCTGCTTTGAATTCACAGTTTTTTACATAGTGGCAGGACGTCTTCAGTTGCTGGTTGATGATATGTATCTTTGTTCTGCAGGGTGCAATAAGTAAAACACAGGATTTAGTTTCCTGTCTCTGGTGCTTTGACTCAGTTCACCAGCGTGACCTACTTCTAGATGTAACCCTTGTTTTACGTTAGTGTGTGTTTTGATACTCCCTTTGTGATTTGTGAGGTCTTCCTTCTCAGCAACTGGAAATCCTACCTGTAAGCAGTGGCCTGAGGTGAGATTGTTGGGTTTGGCTTGGAAGGGTTTTCAGGTTTCAACGCCTGGGCCAGCTGTAGGCTGATGCAACTTGCCATCTTCTAATGCAGGATTAGCCACAGTGGGAAAGGACTGGCAGGGCTGTGATGAAGCTCTCCTCTCTTTAGCTTCTCCTGCAGTACTTGAAGACTGTTAGTCTAACTTACACCTATCCCTCTGCCTTCCTTAGTGTTCTGCTTCTGACCCAATGCTCTTTCATAGCAGCAGCCACTTGGCAGCAAACCTGCTTTGTGGCTGCAGCCTTGTGCTCCTGCTTCTGCCACCAGCAGCTCAGAGCTGTGTGTGCCTGCTTCAGGAGAGCACAGGACCACAGCAAGCATTTGCCATTGATGTTACTTGTGAGCAGGATGGAAATCCTGCAGCATGAGATGGAGAATTTGGGGATATTCTGGGAGTGTGGTGGGAGGCTGGGAGAGAACAATGAATTCTGCTGGCCATTGGGAAAACAGAGAAAAACTGCAGCCCCACAATGGGGACCTAGAGCTGGCCTGAAGACGGTAAGTGTTTTCTGTGAGTGTCTTTCAGAGGGGGAAAAAAAAAACATTTCACCAAGTTCTCTGAATTTCTGTTCTGTCTCCTCTTTTTTCTTTCTAAAAAAAAGTCAGAGTTAACTGTTCTTCACATACATTGAATTTGTTGTTGTTGTCCTAAGAGGGAAAAGAGTGCTGTTGATGGTTAAACATTTCTGACCAGGTCCTGTCAGGTTGTTAAAACTGGCTGAGGACAGGCTCTGAGATGCTCGTGGGGGAAAAATCTGCCTACGTTTGGATTGGGGTTGGCTGGAAGTGACCACCGTGGGCTTTTATCTTTTCATTTGCATAATCTGAGCGAACGTGATGCTCCTGCTTTACCTATATGTTGGCATTTTTCAGAGGCACAGCTGACTGGTTTGGAGTAAGCAAAGACAGTGATGCTACACAGAAATGGCAGAGAAAGAGCCTTCGCCACTGCAGTCTGCGGTATGGGAAGCTGAAACCTCAGGTCATCCGGGAAATGGACTTGCCCAGTCAGGACAATATTTCTCTAACAAGCACAGAAACCCCACCTCCACTATATGTTGGGCCCTGCCAGCTGGGCATGCAGAAGGTGAGTAGCCTGGGACAGAGTCGAGGCCATCATGAGCTTCCTGCACAGTGTCTTCACCATTTTTAACCCATCTATGGGCTTAGTTCTGCCTGAACGTGTCTTGTCCAATGGGTTACAGTCAGTGATTCAATATGGTGTCTATTGAATCTGTACTGGGACTGGTACTACTTAATATCTTAATCAATGACATAGATAGTAGGGTTGAGTGCAACTTCTGCAAGTTTGCAGATGTCTCCAAGAAGAGCAGTAAAGTTGATAGAAAGATGCCATCCGGAGGGACCTTGAGGTTTTGAGGAGTAGTCTCATGTGAATTTCATGAGGTCCAACAAGGCCAAATACAAGGTGCCGTACCTGAGCTGGGACACTCCTCTGTGTCAATACAGACTGGGTGATGAATGGGTTGAGAGCAGCGCTGCAGAGAAGGACTTTGGGGTACTGGTGAATGAAAAAATCATGGAAGCCAGCAGGGTGTGCTTACAGTCCAAAAAGCCAACTGTATCTTTAGCATCAAAATAAATGTGGCCATCAGAGCAAGAGAGGTCCACTCTGCTCCACTCTTCTGATACCCACCTGGAGTACTGCAGTTCTGTGGCTCTCAGCACGAGACAGACGGGGACTTGCTGGAGAGGGTCCAGAGGATGCCACAAAGGTGTTCAGAGGGCTGAAGCAGCTCTCCTACAAAAACAGGCTGAGAGAGTTGTGGTTATTTGGCCTGGAGAAGAAAAGGCTCCAGGTAGACCTTATTGCTGCCTTTCAACACTTAGAGGGGGCTTGTAAGAAAGATAGAGAAAGTCATTTCTGGAGTCGGTAGTGACACAGGATTTGTACTGACAGAACAAGGAGCAGTGGTTACAAATGGAAAACTTGATTATGTTATGGGACTTGGCAAAACATGTCTTGCATCAGCTGTGCCACAGCTCCGCTCATGAGTCCTCAGAAATTGGTTTGGGTGCCTGCAAAGAGTATCTGGTAGCCCTTCAAGTGTGGTCCTAGGGGACCAGGACCCTGTCAGTCACATTTGGTTACCAACACTTTAAAAGTAACCCATAATATTCCAGCAAAGGAAAGACTCCTTGCTCCACTGAGCACCTTAATCCATACAGTATTAGGGCATCAGTGAACACCACTGCAGTGTGGGCAAGTGTGAAATGAATTCCTTCCAAACCAAGTTGATCTGTGACCCAAAGCCTGTCTGCGTTCCTGAAACAGGAGAATATTATGTCTTTCAATCCAGTCTCAGCTTGTTGAATGCTTTGGTCACAGGATACTGAGAAATGATGTTGGGCTCTATGTGGACTACATTCAGTCAGAACTTGGTTTCAGTAGGTGTAACTCCATAAAGCTTCCTATTGAGTGTGCAACTGTGGATTAAAAAGGCTCATAAAACATTAGGATAAAGTACAGAAGTCATAAAGAAACCACAGCTGTGATGATGTAAGGACAGAGGAAAGGTTTGTAGCTGAAGGCAATGTTTTCATTAGGTTGATTCGTGTGTTTGGCAGCTTTGGTCTGAAGAGTCCCAGAGAAGGGCTTGTAGCTCCTGGAAGCTTGCCTGCTTTATCCAGCTGTTAGGATTAACAGAAACAGATGTAAATATACAGTTAAGCTCCACCAGGATACTGTTTAAATCCAGAGCTGTACACCAACAGAAAGGAAGCTAGCTCTTGAAAGAGCCTGGCTCGATTGAGGGATTTCTCCAAGTCCTGGTCAGATATCACATTCTCTGACTGCAGACTTCTCTGTCACAGGAGATGAATGATTCCAAGAGCTTAGAAAGGGCTGAAGGTGGTTTGAAGCTGTCGTGTGAACATCAGAAATGTTCTGGATGAAAGTAATCAATACCAACTAAAACCCCCCAAAACAATGACAAACAAAATAAATGAGGAGGGCTTTGAGGACTTGAGCTTGGGACTCGAAAGTTGTTTCCTATCTCCCTAATGTAGAATTGATCGGTGTTTTTTTCAACCTGGCTCTTGTCTGGCCACTGTCCTGGTCTCAAGAGGGAGATGATGGAGGCTTGAAAGGATGAGAGCTTGGTAGGCAAATGTAGGAGGGTGGCTGTACTTACTGATGGGTTTTTCTTTGGCAGATCATAGACCCTTTGGCCCGCGGCCGAGCTTTCCGAATGGCTGACGACAGTGATGGCTACAGCATCCCCCACACACCCATCACGCCAGGTGCCACATCACTCTGCTCCTTCACCAGCTCACGCTCGGGCTTCAATCGCCTCCCGCGACGGCGGAAACGGGAATCTGTTGCCAAAATGAGCTTCCGAGCAGCTGCGGCTCTGGTGAAGGTACTGAATGTGGGAGGGCAGTGATTGGGCTGGCAGCAGGATGCGGCCCTGTCCTGGAAGAGGAGTGGGAGGGAAGGAGCTATCTTTTGTAGGAGAAAGCACTTTCTGTGAGGAGAGAGAGTGAAGGAAAGCAGTGGTGGAGGAGAAGAAACCAGGACAAGTCCTCTCTTATTTCAGCTGTTTGTCTACCAGACAGGATGTGCAAGAAGCAAGGATGCTGGCTGGTTTGTGGTATAGGCCTTGCTTGCTGTTTATCAGCCTTTGATTCTCACAGCCAGCAGCCTTAGAAGATTCCAGCAGGTCTGGTTAAGCTGGGACCTCTGGGTGATCTGTTGCACCGCTCATGGCAGAGTAGAAGTGCCTGAGCCTCTTGCTATGCAAGGTTCTTTTCTGGGTCTCGTAGGGGTCATATATGGGTGACCGTTTTGCTCTGTGACTGCTGTTCAGCCAGACATCATTGTACAATGTGTGGTAGAGGAGCATGCTGCAAGCCTTCATGGGAGATGTGGATCAAGAGGTGGGGTAGCACTAGGATTTATCACCTGGAAAGTGCTGCACATCAGTAGTATTGTTGTGCTTGATGGGTCAGTGTGACAGGGCAGCACTTAGGCTCCCTGTTTGCAGGCCAGGGTGACACTGCATGGGCCTGGGGCTGGGATGTCTGGCAGTGACTTGATGCCATCCTGTCTGTCTGCAGGGTCGCTCTGTGAAGGACAGCACACTGAGGAGAGCTCAGCGGCGCAGCTTCACCCCAGCAAGTTTCATGGAGGAGGATACAGTGGATTTTCCAGATGAGCTCGACACTTCTTTCTTTGCTCGGGTGAGGGGCAGGGCAGTGGTATGGTACTGGCTCCAGAGACTTTGCAAGACTGCAGCTCTGGTAGGGCTGTATGCTGCAGTGTGGTGTTAGTGTCTCAAATGTGATGCCTCCTCCTTCTGATGGGACTTCTGTGTCTTTGCCCAGGAAGGAGTCCTTCATGAGGAGCTCTCTACTTACCCGGATGAGGTGTTTGAGTCGCCATCAGAAGCTGCAGTCAAAGATACTGAAGTGAAACCTTTAGACCAGACAGATCTCACAGGAGGTGCCTTGGACAAAAATGAGCTTGAAAGAAGCCACTTGCTACTGTAAGTATTTTCTTGTAAGGAGCCAAAGCTTTACATGGGGTGATGGCCTGCCCATTCAGAGTGGAATCTTTGATGCTGGGCAGCTGCTTGGGCAAGACAATTGCTCCTTCATGAGGGAAGTTGGGATCTTAGTGCCACGGGTGTTTGGAGCAGAGATCAAAGAGCAGAGCAGTGATGGAATTTCTTTAAGTCCTGCATGCTTCTCTTGATGTTTTGGGTGAGAGTCCTCCTGCCCCAACAGCCCCTGAAAGGTGGCTCTGAGGCCACCTCTCCAGCAGCTTCCTGATGTGATGTGTTTTTGAGGCTGTATCATGGCTTAGGGAAACAAAAGACACTTTAAGTCAGCTGTGAGGATGCTGGAGGCCCAGCCTTCAGCTATGGAGAATACAGCAAAGGTAAGAAGGCTGTTGCCATTGCCACAGTCACCAGGAACTGTTGAGAAGAGTGGAGTGAAGCATTGCTGAGTGTCAAGCTGAGCTACATTCCTCACTTGAAACCAGAGAAAGGTGTGGCACGGATGCTGAAAGCCTTGCAAATATGTGGGTGGTACTGTACTGTATGCCTAGATTTTTTCCACCTGAGTAACTGGTACTGAGTAATTGCTCGGTGTCGTTTCCGAGTTAGCTCTGACTTAGCTGGCAGCTCACCCCAGCAGAGAGCAGTGCTGGGTGTGAATATGTAGCAGACAGGGAGGTCCTTGTTGTGGTTCTGCTGCTCACAGCCCATCTTGCTGTGTTGGAGTTTTCCCTTCAGGTGTATCCAAGAACTTGACTCAGTCTTAACTGTGAAGTGGGAGCTTGTTGTCTCTCCACTGAGATGGTCTCTGTCTTTTTGGCTCCATTTGGATTTCCTCAAATCTACATTCCCTTCCACTTAGAGAACTGCTATCAGAATTGCAGTCAGTTGTCCTTTTAGGTGGCCAGGTGTTTATTTTGGCACAGGCTGAGAGTCCAGCAGGAAAATACTGGGATGTCCATTACATAGAAATCACTTGAACCTCATCCTATTGCTTGTCCATACTTCAAAACTCTCTTAACTTCTCCAAGACACTCTGGTTATCTTTCAAAAAAAAATATGGTTTCTGTGGCCACTTTTGACAACCATTGTCTTTGTGCAGAGTTGGTCACTTAGGAAGCCACAGGAGGTTTCTGTTAACTAGAGACCTGCTGAGGACACGTGCCTACCACAGTTCCAGGCAGTGGGAAAGGGGGAAATAGCAGGCAGTTCTCAGTGCTGTACCTTGCTTGTAGACTGCTTGTTAAGAGTAGTGAAATAAAAAGAACATCTGAAGATGCCCAGAGCAGGTTCTGTTCATCAGTAGCTTGTGCATTGTTCATTCATTTCATACTCTATTTTGGTAAGAAGGCATTCCACTGGATTTTTAGTGTGTTGTTGAAGCCTGGTTTTGTTTTTCTCCTGAGAAATTCATGCATCAGTGCAAATAAAGGGACGAATGGAAGACAAGTTGTGAGAAGTAACTGGCTTGGTTTTAGTTCCTGCTCTTCTTCTCGAAGTGGTTTAATGAGCATGAGGGTTTGACTTGCCAGTCTAATCACAGTAAAGTGCTTCAAGGGTTGGGATTTTCACTGTGGGGCTAAACTGCACTTCCATTTCATAGGAGAGAATGGAGTGAGGGAAATGAAGCAGAGGAAGAAATAGATGTGAATGAGTGTTAGCTGCCTAATAAGGCAGCTGATTCTGGAGATGCTGAGGGTATAGCACATGGCTTCCATTTCTCTCCATTTAATTTGGATCAGAAAAGAATTAAGGCTAAAGTTGAGGTTGTTAGAGGTAGTCACAACCATAGGATGCTGTTCTTGTTCCCTGCTGCAGTGTCAATGCTGGGAGGCTGGAAGTTGTGTCTCCCCAGAATGAGATGCTCAGTGACACCCAGCTGCAGTCTTCCCATTTTAACCCATTGCTGACAAAAAATTCTAACGCTGTGAGAGCATCTCAGCAGTGGGATTCAGTTTGGCAGCTGCCTTGTGCCACTTTCTGCACATAGTCCAGTGCTTTTTTCTTTTTTTGCTGGGGCTTTGTAACACTTGAAAATACAACTTCTATTTCAGAGCACCTTATCTGCCATTAGCTGCTGCTCAGCTTTTGGATACGGTAGGACAGGCACAAGGTCTGCTGCCACCAAAGACCAGAGAAGGGCTGCTCAATATTACCGTGCCATAGAGAAGGAAACCATTGTTATTCCACTTTTTATTCCAGCCCACTGGAGCGAGGCTGGAGGAAACAGAAGGATGGGGGCCTGGCACAACCCAAAGTCCGATTGCGGCAGGAGGTGGTGAGCGTCAGCCCACAGAAGCGTGGGCAGCGCATCGCCGTGCCGGTCAGGAAGCTTTTCGCCAAGGAGAAGCGGCCGTACGGCCTGGGGATGGTGGGGAAGCTGACAAACCGTACCTACCGCAAGCGCATCGACAGCTATGTGAAGCGGCAGATTGAGGACATGGATGATCACAGGTGAGAGCTGCAGTCATAGCTGGGGTTCCAATAAAACAGCGGGCACCGGGAGCACGCCCTGCTCCTCGTGTTGGGTGTCTGCATCTCTTCCCCACCACTGCTGTCTTGTGATGAACATTTCTGTTCAAGCTCAGGTATTCTTGCCTCTGATTGTTTCCATAAACTCAGTATTTCAGATGCATGACACGTTTTGGCATTAGGCTTTTGTATTCATGGGTGCTTTTTTTGGCAAAAAGTGGCTTGCCCAGTGTTTAGGGGAGTCAGTAAACAGAGGCTGTCTGCTGGCAAGATTATTGCTTCCAGTCGTCTATACCCTAGGTGATCTTGGTCCTGTCCCCAGAGTCTGCCAGGGTTCCTAGGGAAAGGAAGCAGCTTTTCTCCTTGCTCTGTGACTAGATGTAACACAGAGTGCTACGAGATGCAGTTTAGTAGCTTAGTGCATAGTAATGGTGATAGGACAGTTGGACTAGAGGATCTTGTAGGTCCTTTCCAACCTTGTGATTCTATGATTCTGTGCCTGGATTTCTGCCTCTGATCTTTTCCCTTTCCCTCCATCCAGGCCCTTCTTCACATACTGGGTCACCTTTGTGCATTCGCTCATCACCATCCTTGCTGTGTGCATCTATGGCATTGCCCCTGTGGGGTTCTCACAACATGAAACTGTTGATTCAGTAAGTAAATCACCCTGACTTGCCTGACTTGAAGTGTGATTGTGTCACAGCTCTCAGCACAGTGGCCACTGAGGGCCTTGTTGGCTGGACACCAGTGTCCAGGGCCTGTCTGCAGCATCTGTGAGCCCACGTGCTGCCTGCTTTCCCTCCTGCAGTTTCCCTCTTGCTCTTGACATTGAGCTCTATTGGGTGGGCTTTTGGTACAAAGCACAGTGGGCTCCTGGGAGGTTCTTTTTCTGACTGTGCTGGGAGTCCTTTTTAGCAACTTGTTCCCCTCCTGGTGGGGAACAGAAAGATGTTCATGGTAGGGAAATATTTCAAACCTCAGTTAAGTTTTTGTAACTGCAAGATTTTGCTTCTGCCAGGAGCAAAATGGACCTGTCTGACTTTGTGAGCTGATCTTGAAGCCTGATGGCTTTCACAACACTGTCACCAGCATCTGGATCAGCATCATGTTGCTGACAGCTGCTGCTTGTGTTGCTGAGCTGTGTGAAGCTTTATAGAGGATCTCAGCCATCCTGGGAGAATGTGAAGTAGCCAGGTGGACATTTTCAGAGGAGTCTTTAAATAAAGATGCCCAGACCTGCCCTCCTACAAAAGACCAGTTTGAGAGAGCTGTGTAGCCAGTCACCTGCTGTGGGGATTTCTGCTCCTTCTGGGAGCTGTTTTCACCAGTCCCTGCCCCTTGCTCATGGTACTCTCGCTTCCTCTCCTTGCAGGTTTTGCGAAACAGAGGGGTTTATGAAAATGTCAAATATGTTCAGCAGGAAAACTTCTGGATCGGCCCCAGTTCAGTGAGTGTTATCATCTGGGGCTGGCAGGGGGCAACAGCCAGATCTCCCCAGGGATCTGGGCCCTCCACTGCTTGGGGCTTGGTGCTAGCAGCTCTCATCAGCTGGGCCTCTCACAGGGCTCTGCTGTCCTTGGCAGGGTGCAGCAGTGCTCCTGCCCCAGCTGCCCTGCAGAATGGTTTGCTGGGAGCTGGGGATGAACCTTGGCACTCCTTCTTGCACATGGTTCTATGAAGCCAAGCGTGAGGCCAGAGAAAATGCAGAAGTTATGTGGAGCATAACAGCTTTCATGATGCCATTTTCCCCAGGAAAGTCTGTAATGTCCTAGAGCTTCCTTCCTCACCACAGAAAAGGCCTTTCTGGGGCCACGGGCAAGCAAATTCTGGATTCTTGTTTTGAGCTCGCTTTTTGAGGACAGAGGCAAATACTAAGAATATGTGTGCCTGGTGTGTTTTGAACATCATCATGCAGTACATGTCTCTGGCCGTGCTGGGGGTACCCCTTGCTGTTCTTCCCAGCCTGTTCTGCCCTGGGCAGTCCTTGTGTACATCTTGACTGAGGTGAGCTTTTCTATCTCTCTCCCAGGAGGCCCTGATCCACCTAGGGGCCAAGTTCTCACCATGCATGAGGCAGGACCAGCAAGTGCATAGCTTCATTAAGGCCAAGCGTGAGAAGGAGAAGCACTCAGCATGCTGTGTACGAAATGACAAGTCCGGTTGCGTACAGACTTCAGAGGAGGAGTGCTCAGTGAGTGTGGTGTTCCCTTTCCTGCTGTTACTGCAGGCTCAGGGCCGCTTCTGTTAATGCTTTCTCCTGCCCTAGGATTCCCAGTGACACTTCTCCTCTCCCTTCTCTTGCAGTCCACCCTGGCTGTGTGGGTGAAGTGGCCCTACCACTCCAGCACACCAATGCTGGCAGGAAGCAAGAGGCAGTTTGGGTCTGTTTGTCATCAGGACCCCAGGTATGTCCTGCCTAGCCCACCTGCCATCCTAGGGACACCAGGACTGCTGTGACAGTCAAGTCAGAGGCATGGTGTCCCAGGCCAGTTCACTGCAGAGTGTGTGCGTAGTGGTGTCCTTACCTGCCCTTGTGGTGGCAGGAGAGCTGAGGCAGCATTTTCTGGGAGCCTCCCAGATCGCAAACTTATTTGTGTTCCCTGAAGTCTCTGTTGTCTGCCCACGTGCACAGTGGTTTGTTCTCAGCTGTGGGTTCTTCTGTTCTTCTCCTCCTTACCTGCTCGCTTTGCTCCCTGCATGGGCCGCTTTCCCATGGGATAGCAGCTACCTTCCCGGCACAGCTCTCCTGCAAAGCCCTGGCAGCCACCTTTGCCCTTAGCCACCACGGGCTGAGGGAGGGCTGAAACCAGCTGAAGGTCCATGTTCAGAGTTCCATTATGTTGTTGAGCAGCTGTGTGCTCTTTGTCAGCTGAAGCCGTGATCTCTGGTTGCAGGAAGCAAGCGGTAGCTTTGATCAGCACAGCCTTGACCTGAAGTAGTGTGTCACCAACCCCTTGTCAGGGACAGAGGGGACCTATGGGAGCATAGCATGGGGGCAGGGACAGTGTGGTATGCTAGGAAAAGTCATTTCTCTGGGTGATCTTTGCTTCCTGTTGCTGCAGGGTGTGTGAGCAGCCAGCCTCGATGGAGCCACACGAGTGGCCAGACGACATCACCAAATGGCCGGTGAGCATCACTGGTGGCACAGGGCCTGTGCTGGAAAATGGCATTTCCAACCCACTGTGCAGAGTTGCAGCACTGCCGGTGGAAAGGGGTCTTCAGTGCAGCCTCCTAAAGCCCTCCACAACAAAAATTCCCACTGCACCAGATAAAGCCCTAAGCCCTGCCAGGGTAATAGGATGATGGATACTTACACCACCTAGGGGCTGTTTTAATTGCTTGTGAGGGAGGAGGCATTGGTTTGGGCTCTGGCAGCCCAGGCAGATGGGGTGTCAGGTACCATCTTACCATCAGAAGAAACCCTTGGGAGGCTGTGTCTGTGGGACTGCCTTCCTCCCAAGTGACTGTTCTGCCCTTACCCAGGCAGCAAGCCAAACCATGGATCTCTGACTGCAGCCTGTTGTCATTTTCCAGATCTGCACAAAAAACAGTGCTGGGAATTACACAAACCACCTTCACATGGACTGTGTGATTACAGGCAGGCCCTGCTGCATTGGGACCAAAGGAAGGTAATGAGTTTAATCTGTGTGGAGGGGGGCTGGGCATTGGAGTGAGAAATGGAGGGCTGTTTTAAGGTTGTAGGCACAGCCATTTGTCTTCCTTGTCCTTCCTGCATGCAGCCCAGAGCAGTGCTGGGGAGGGGAGTCCAGCAGAGAGCCCTGATGTGTTTCCCAGGCAGAACAGGACTCTGGAAAGAGCACGGGTTAACAGGCAGCTTGAATTTGATGTGGCAGGGTATCTCATTCAACTGATCCTGAAGTTTAATGGGATCTGAAGCCCTGGGGATTAAATGTATCTCTTGGGGAATTCAGTGCTTTTCCTTGGAACGACCAACTTGTTCCTAACAGGCTACACTGACCCCAGACTGGCTTCTGTGTGTGTTCCAAGAGGAAATGATCTGATCTGGGTTTGCCAAGGGGGATTCTGTTCTTCATGCTGCTCCTCAGCTTGAGTTACTTAGTGCTTGGGCCAGGCTTCCCCTGCCAGGAAGGAAAATCAGTGCTGCTGTCCCTGAAAGTCATGGCAGGACACTTGGCTTAGCCCTACTTTCTGCTCTGTCAGTGTCTGAGGCACAGGGCTCCCCAAGCCCAGAGCCCTACATTCTCCAACCTCCAGTGTTTCATTCTCAGCTGTAAATAGCTCAATTTTAATACTTCTTTTGGAACCTTTGCAGAGGTGCTGTAGCATGTCGAGGGCATCAGTTCTTGTAGACTAAGTTAGAGGCCAGGGAGGGCACAGGATAATCTGCCATGTCTTCCATATGTGACTTGTTCTTCTTTTGATTGCTGTGCCTCTTCCAGGTGTGAAATAACTTCCAGAGAGTATTGTGAATTTATGCGGGGCTATTTCCATGAGGAGGCAACACTTTGCTCTCAGGTAGGTGCAGAGTAGTAGTTTGTAAGGTCATCCTTCTCACTTCTCACTTCTGTTCACCCATCTACTTGGCAGCATCTGCAGCAGTGTGAGTGGGAATGTTGAGTCCTAGAGGAAGTTGCTGATCCAGGATGTAGTGACAAAATTGCATCTATCCTTAGGAGACCAGTTTAGATCTTGGGGCTGGCAGCCACAAAAGTCCAGCATGGGACCATGGGTGGAAGCAGCAGGTGTCTGCAACATTCCTGCTCCGTGGGTGAACAAAATGTACATGTGTTGGGGTGATGAATAAGGGCATAATGCTGCCGTAAGTAATGGGTGGGGACATGTGAAATGGTGCTGCAGGCAAGGGCTGGATAGCAGATACGTGAATGGAGAACCCCTTTTTCCGAGCTAGCTGCAGCCTCTGCTGTGGCTGTGATAACTGGCTGTGCCCAGTGGTGTTGGCTGGCACATCCCACAGCCCCCATTTTGTTGCCCTAGGTTCACTGCATGGATGATGTCTGTGGACTCCTCCCTTTCCTAAATCCAGAAGTCCCTGACCAGTTCTACCGTCTCTGGCTCTCACTTTTCCTACATGCTGGGTAAGCGTAGGTGCAAAGCTTGCAGCCTCCGGGAGGGAACTGTGGGGTTACATGGAGGGTGGTTCTAGCAGTTTCAGTCCTCAGAACACCATTGTGGGGATGAGCTGTTGTCCCTGCTGAGGCTTATCACGCTGAATTTGCTGGGAGGGATATTAGAGGCGTGGGCTGCACCAGCTGCTTTCAACAAGACTCAAAGAAGACAGGAGAGAAGACAGACAAGCACACTATAGGGAATTTGGTGGATGCTGCTTCAGCTCCTGTACTCTGAACTTGGCAGGATCCTGCACTGTCTGGTTTCAGTCTGTTTCCAAATGACGATCCTGAGGGACCTGGAGAAGCTGGCAGGATGGCATCGCATCTCTATCATCTACCTGCTCAGTGGCATCACCGGGAACCTTGCCAGTGCAATATTTCTACCCTACAGAGCAGAGGTGGGTCTCCTGCACACTAGGGTCCCAGCAGCTTCAGTACAAGTCCCTACATGCTATGCCTCTCTGGCAGAAAAATCAGAGCTGTGCTTATCTTTGTATTGTGCAGATTTGTAGTTAGCAGTCAACACCACACCATCATCTAGTTGCTGAGCACTAACATCCCCCAGAGCACTCTAGTTGGCTTTCCAGGTGACTGACCCATTCTGGCTGCAGCCCAAGGGCTGCTCCACAACATAAGATGGGGGAGATTCCAGCCACATGCAGGCTGGGAATTCAGGTCTATAGCTGACCTGTATGTCAGTCCCTTCACATGCAAACAGAAGGTGAGAGCAAGGCTCACCGTTCCCACAGACTGTCCCTGCCCACACTGCACAGCTGGAGAAGCCCAGTGTGCCCGCCCAGCTTCACCTTAGAAGACTGCATGGCAGGACCTAGAGGACCACTTTCCAGATCCTTCAGTAAGGAAGAGTGTGTGGTGGGTGAAGGGACCAAGGAGATTGCCTCTAAGGACCTCTACCCTCTAGTAGTTCAAACCAGATTCATCTCTTTAAAAAGAACATCTGTTCTGGTGAGCTCACACCTACACTGATCCTCATGTCAGACCAGGCCTTGAAACTCATTATCAGGATGAAGTCTCAGGCTGCAGCATCTCTTTTCTGAAGTAACACTGAACAGGGAGTTGAAATAACCCTAATGGAGCTGGTTGCAGAAGCCAGGCAGATGTGGGTGTGCCTGATGTTACCTGTAATGTTCTTCTTCTGCAGGTTGGCCCTGCAGGATCCCAGTTTGGGATTCTGGCTTGTCTCTTTGTGGAGCTCTTCCAGAGTTGGCAAATCCTGGCACGGCCGTGGAGGGCTTTCTTCAAGCTGCTGGCTGTGGTGCTCTTTCTTTTTGCCTTTGGCCTCCTGCCTTGGATTGATAATTTTGCTCACATTTCAGGATTCATCAGTGGTTTCTTCCTCTCCTTTGCCTTCCTGCCCTACATTAGCTTTGGGAAGTTCGATTTGTATAGGAAGCGATGCCAAATTATTGTTTTCCAGCTCATCTTCATTGCACTCTTCTCAGGACTTGTGATTCTATTCTATTTCTACCCCATCAAGTGCGAGTGGTGTGAGTTCCTTACCTGTATACCATTCACGGACAAATTCTGCGAGAAATACGACCTGGATGCACAGCTTCACTGAAAGGCAAAGACTGGCTTCTCGAGCAGGCACTGGAGATGGACTGTCTTTGCATTTGCTGTGCTAGTTCCACATGGACGAAGCTTCTAATCCAATGACACTTCTAACCAGGGCTGTGGTTAATTTAAACCGTCTCTAGCACTCAGCAGGCGTGGTTTGCCTTATCTCAGAAGACTCTGAACAGAATGTTGGTGCCTTGTTCAATTGTACTGAACCTCTTCTGCTGCCATTATTTTTATTATACTAGTTTCAATACTACATTTTTAACTAGAGTTATTTACTACTGCTAAGGTGGTGATTAAATGGAAAGGTAGCGTTTTAGCTACTGCTAATTGTTTTGCATAGTCTGTGGCTACGTTTGTTACTTTATGTACCGATGCTGTTCCATGCACTAATAGAATCAGTATTCTTCTAGCACCCAAAGTAGCCCAACACACATTTACAGCTGGAAATAAGAGCTTTAAAAGCCTTAAAAGAAAATGAGAGTCTCTTTAATTACAAAAAGCACATTCTGCATACAGCTCAGAGGCAGACGTTTTGAACAGCAAAAACATGTAAGAGCATCTGTTCAACTGGAGTTCGCTTCTCTGTGAAATCTTTCAACCTCTTCCTCTTGGAGAGCACTGAATCCCTTATCTGATCCTGGCAGGAATGGATTCTCTATTCTACCTGTTAAAGAAAAAGAAATATTTGGGAATAGCAGTGTTAACTGCATACTGGGCTCTCCTATCACTGCAGTATAGGGGCTCATCCAGGGCCCCGTGGGGTAAAGCAGAGCTCTGCTGTCACAGCACATGTCATATTGCACTGAAAGAGAATGAAAGCCTCTGTGGTCACAGTGACAGTTTCTAACCCAGCTAGCTGGAACCACAGAACATCTGGAAAGCATGCAATTACCCCTGCTCTCAGCAACTGATTGTGGTGAGGGAGACAGTTTTAAACCTACTGAGGTTGGGAGTCTTGGCCACACTGTGTGTTTGTACTACAATTGTGATGTCTACATGGACTACACACAGGTAGATATATATGCTACTAATGCTTCCTGTGCTACAAGTTTTCTTCAGTGCATCAGCTGCACAAAATTACCATGACCAGAAGTTGTCTAGTGGTATTATCCCACCTTCTGGGAACAGCAAATCAGCTGAACTCGTTGTTGTAAACCAGAAAAAAAAGAAAAACTAAACAAAAGCTACAGGGTCCAGAAGCAAAGGTGCCTTTGGTAACTCCTTACAGCTTGCAGTGACTGAGGAAGATGGATCAAAATACACCCAAAGAGGAACAGTAACCTTTGCTGGTTGCATTTGGTTGCATGCAGCGATGGGACGCTTCCAGGTGCTCTGAATGGTACAGGAGTGTGAAGAGCAAAGAGGGAGAACAAAGAGTCACTTGGGTACAGTGAGGAGGAGACATACAGGAGGATCAAATGAATTGCATGATGGCAAATAAAAAAAAACTTGTCTTCCTGGGCACTGGACTTCCAGAGTTGCATGAAGCCTAAAACCAAGGTCCAAGAAGTAATCAAAAGGGCAAAGAGAAGAACAGTGCATTTAATGAATCTCAGGGCATTGTGGGAACAAATTCAGAGCCTAAAATGCACAGTAGGGGGAGGGATGCACCACTGCTAGCACTGAGGTACTGCTGCTGCTCCCACTGTGGTTTGAACCACAGTTCCCTACCCAGAGAGGAGCACAAGCAACACAACCAGGAGGCGGACATGGGAAAGAGCCAGGCTGGAGCCCAGCAGAGAGACAGAAATGCTCACAGAGCTGCACTGCGCTTTAAGCCTGGGTGCTGTGGCCCTGGGAAGGCAAAGCTGAAGAACGGGTATTCATAACGGGTATTCAGGACTTACCTGACAGGTCACTTTCGGAGTTTCTTGATGAAGCTGACCTCATCCCGGTTCCTGATGCCATACCTGAATAGAGTAGTGCTGTTACAGCCAGTTCTCCTCTAACCACAAACTGCAATCCTACAGCTCCCGTTGCCAGGGCCGGATGGACTCCTCGTGTGCTCCACTGCCAAACAGGTGGGAGTTCCCACACGTGCAGGCAGAACAGGGTCTGCTACCCTGCCTTTGTAAACACACCATCTATCACCCACCCTCTGTAACCCAGCAGAGAGGCTGTGGATGCCCCGTCCATCCCTGGAGGCGTTCAAGGCCAGGTTGGATGGGGCCCTGGGCAGGTATGAAATACAGAGGTTGGTGGCCCTGCATGTGGCAGGGGGTTGGAGATCTGTGATCCTTGAGGTCTCTTCCAACCCAGGCCATTCTGTGATTCTGTGATAAGGCAGCGCTGCCTCGCTATGGGTTCTCCCTCCTCCTGCTAAGCTGCATCCCTGCAGACAAGCGTACAACCCCTCGGCGGCCGTTTACTCACTCTCTCAGCTTCTTTCTATCATCCGCCAGCTTCTCCCCGTTGTAAGTCAGGTGGTACGTCCTCCAGATGTACTTCCTGCGAGAGAACAGGGTTTGGAGCGGGGCTGTGCGGTGTCGGTGCTGCAGAGCCGCGCCGTGCCGCTCACCAGCTGAGATGCTGCACGCCGCCACGCCGCGCCTGCCGGAGCTGCACGTGCCGCCGCAGCGCCTTCTTCAAGTCCAGCACCGTCGCGTTCTGCACCACCACCACAGCTGCGGGGAGAAACCCGTTCAGCGCCCGCGGTCCCGCAGCTCCCCGCCCCGCTCCCCGCCCCGCCGCGCTCACGCATGCTCTCGCCGTCCGCCTTGCACACTCGCACCGTCATGGCCTGCCCGTACTCCAGCGCCACTTGAGAGCCGATTTCCTCCGGCGTCACCTGCGGGCGGAACCGCGGGGTTGAGCTGCGCCGAGCCGCCCCCGAACCCCAACCCGAACCCGAACCCCACCTGCGGCGGGAGGTCGCAGAGCAGCGGGTCCTGCACGAGCCGCGCCAGCGCCGCCTGGAACAGCTCGAGCACTTCGGCGTGCGCCAGCTCCTCCTCCGCCTCCGCCATCCCCGGCCGGAAGAGGCGGATCCGACGATGCTGCTTTTCTGCCCGGCGTGCGGCAACGTGCTGGTGGCCGAGGAAGGGCCGCGCTGCCACCGCTTCGCCTGCACCACCTGTCCGTACGTGCGGAACGTCACGAGGAAGGTGCGCGGTACGCGGCGGGCGGGGCTGAGGGAGGGGGATTTTGGGAGGGGGGCTGATCGCTGTGCCCGCAGGTGAGCAGCAGGAAATACCCGCGGCTGAAGGAGGTGGACGACGTGCTGGGCGGGGCGGCGGCGTGGGAGAACGTGGATTCCACCGCAGGTACGGCGGGGAAGGGGTCGCGTGGATGGGGTGAAAGTGGGAGGGGGCGGTTTGGTGCGGATCTCAGCTCACCGCCTCTCCCCGCAGAGCCGTGCCCCAAGTGCGAGCATCCCCGCGCGTACTTCATGCAGATCCAGACGCGCTCGGCCGACGAACCCATGACCACGTTCTATAAGTGCTGCAACGCGCAGTGCGGGCACCGCTGGCGCGACTGAACCCCCCCCCCCCCCCCCCCCCCCCCACCTCCCTGACCCCCCCACGGATCGCTGTGCCTTCCCGGCTGTCAATAAACGCAGCGCTGGAGCTGAGGCTGCACTGTGAGGTGCGGTGGTTCTGTGGATCTGTGCTTAACCTTTGTTCTCACCTCAAACGTGTGCAAAAGTATCAAAAAGAAAGGATAAAAAACTTCCTTAATCACAGAATGGCCAGGGTTGGAAGGGACCTCAAGGATCACGAAGCTCCAACCCCCTGCCACACGCAGGGCCACCAACCTCCTCATTTCATACCAGCCCAGGCTGCCCAGGGCCCCATCCAACCTGGCCTTGAACACCTCCAGGGATGGACGGGGCATCCACAGCCTCTCTGGGCAGCTGTTCCAGCACCTCACCACTCTCTCTGTAAAGAACTTCCCCCTGATATCCAACCTAAATCCTCCCTCCCTCAACTTCAAACCATTTCCCCTTGTCCTGCTGTTATCTACCCTTTCAAAGAGTTGATTCCCCTTTTAAAGAATTGATTCCCCAGAAGAACAACCAGAACACGACATGAAAGGGCAACAAATTACAGCATTTAATCCACGTTAGCATCTAAGGGGTAAACCAATTTAACAACATCCAGCTTTACCTCTACTACACGTGGATAACCTGCACCCATTTGTTCCAGTTCACTGCAGTGGGGAACACCCCCCCCAGGCGCAGGGTGCAGTCCATGGTGGGCTCATAATATGCTACAGAGGCCTCGCTCAGTTTGGGACTGTGCAGCTGCTCTGCTATGAGTGGCTGAGAGAAGAGGGACACTGGGGGTGCCTTCTTCATGTGGAACCTTCTGATACAACCAAGAGCTTCCAGACCCTGCAGAGAAAAATTGCATTTCAGCTTAAGCATCTGCAAAACAAACCAACGTAGGTCACGCGCTGCTGTTCCATGTTCAGTGTTCTCAGGACCTATACTTCAGATTTTGAATTATATTAGGAAAAAAAAACCAATACCAACAAGGTTTCAATGGAAAATAGCAGTGGTGGTAATCAAATTTCCAGATGTGGAAGGAAAAAAGAAAACGAAACTCAGAATTTCTCACCATATATTGTGTTAAGGATGTTTGCCTTCAAGTGGGTTTTTTCTAAACAAAATAATCTTAAGTTCAGGGGTTGAAGCAGCCTGAGGTCACAGTGCTGCTTATTCACATACCTGCAGGATCTCCAGGACAGCAACGGGTTGCAGTGTCCCTGTGTAATGCTGCAGCAGCATGCCTTCTGTTATGCCTGGCTTTGTCATGATGTGATACAGCACAGCTTCCATCATTCCTTTACACACAGGTTTGTTCAGGTTCCCATCCACAATCCTCCACGGTCTCCCAATGAAGCAGACATTCTCGCAGGCCCTGCAAAAGACAGTTTAAAGTCAGCTCTGCCAGCTGCTGATGTGCCCCATGTCCCTCAGTGCCATGGCCACGTGCCTCTTAAATACCTCCAGGACTCAGGACACCATTGCTGCCCTGAACTTTGTTTCACCTCTTCATTTGCAATAGCCCTAATATCCTCCAGAAGTTGCCCAAGACTTAAATTCAATCTGCAACGTGCAGCAACAGTGCTCAGACAGGAAACTGAATTATTTGTAGCATTATGGAGGAAAAGGATTGACACTGCATGGCAATCCACACTTCTCGTATCGCAGAGATTCTCTAAGGCCTTTCCTGGGCACATGGAAGATGGGACCTACTGACACTGCACTTGTGAAATACAATTAGTGTCATTTCTCTGATGCTGCAGCTGGTTGTGGTATCAGAGCGTGTATATGACCACATGAGCAACATTAACAAGAGCAATGGGGGGAAATGGGGTTCATCTTCCATGCACTCTGCCTATGGGAATGTACGACTGAGTTCACCAAAGCACTGACTTCAGAAATTACTCTGGCAATGTGGAGCATTCAGTCACACTGCAGACATCTGTTACTCACCCATCTGCAGCTGCCTGGGACAGACCTGGCACAGAATTGCCTGGAAAGAAAAAAACATGCAGTTTTGAAGTTAATTAGCCCAAACTCTTTGGTGGATGTTAACTAACAGGTGGCTAAACTGTAAAAGGCAACAAACTGTGCTGGAAAATAACAGAACCAAGCTGTTGTTCTGGGTTGCATGGGGAGTTCCAAGATTCCACTCAGTCTTTACCCATCTCCAGCACAGCCCTTCTTCCCACACTGTTCTCAAAACCACATCTGGCTGCTCCAGCCACGCTTTTGGTGGTTCTGTTCCCAAATCATAGCAAATCATAAGCCTCATTGCATGACAGAACAGCAGATAGTTCTGGGTTCCAAAGAACAAAGTTTCACAGAGGGTGCAATGCAGGGGCTTTGCATGTAGCACTCACACAGTTCTTCAACTGAGTCCCACTGGCAGTCACAGTGAGGCTGACATGTCTGAGTAACTGTAGACTCAGGGCTTGAGAATGCAAACTCGAGATTTCAGCAGAATTTGGTTTCAAAATGAAGGCTGCCTCTGCAACTTCCATGATCCTAATGGGTTTTAATTACACAATTACTTAACATTGGTACTTTTACTGCACCCAGAGGCTGACAGCTTTGGCTTAAGCATGTGTAAAACCACCTGGGCATCACCAGTAATGCTGGTAAGAACTCTGTGCTTGGTAAGGGCTACGTTTTTATCCCCTCTATGTTACACACAGGTAGAAGTCAAATCCTCAATAGTAGTTCTTAACATGAATCTGTTAAAGTTTGCCAGCTAGGCAGACCTGAGGTGATGTCCTGCAGGAAGGCTCTAACCAACACCCAACTCCAACTGATTCACATGGCAGGGTAAGGGCAGACTGTGGCCAAATGTCACACTGTGTGATTCAGTCTGAAATCAGAGCTGACAGAAATGAAACTAGAAGAAAATCCCCAACAACCTACTCAGTGTAAATCCTGGCAAGGATTATTAGCTGTTAAAAAAGAAAATTGGCAGTACAAAGGATGGGAAAATGAAGTCAGATTGGGTCACAAATTAGGCTATTAATCTTCTCACTGGCAGGTGCTGCATTCTGGTGAGTGGTTTAATGACTTTACGGCTTTTAGTCATGGGCATTCTAGTTAAAGCACAAGTAGTGCTGTGTTTTCTTGATTTAAAGATGTCAAGCCTTTGGACTGAAGCCAGAGATGGGAAAAGCCATCTAAGTATGTCTTTGGAGAAGATTAAAAGACATGGAAATAGGTTTTTAAGGAAAGCACATTCCCGGACTAGTCCCAAACATTCCAGGAATAGGCACAGGAAGGAATCTTCTGAAACTTCCAATACCTTCCAGACCAATCAGTGCAATGCTATGGTGTCTGTGCAAAACGAAAACCTTCCTCAGTGGCACAGCTTCATGAAAGATCTAGTAAGTGCTTACAAAATACTACCTGGTTGGTTGGTGATGAGCTGGTACTATTCCTTGGATGTAGAGAACTCCTACGTACCTTTAGAGACCTCTGGGTTCTCCTGCAATTGGGAAACATCCTCATGCTGCTCTGTGGCAGAGTGTTCAAGGCTAAGGATATGCTCGTTGTGCTCAGGGCTGAGATCATTGTTCCTTTCTTCAAGCTGCTTGTCCTCAGAATGTGGCATATCGTGATCCTTGGGCACATCCACACTGACAGTGCCTGAAGGGCCTTCAGCTGTATGTTCTGCCTGCCCTCCCAGGGACCCTGTTTCCCCATCTGGGATGGATGATTCCTTCACTGTAACAGGATCAGTAATATCTGCATCCAAGTTACTCTCATTTGCACTTAGCAAACTGCTTTGCAAACCCTGGCAGAGTTGGTCACCATCTTGAAGGCCATCATTTTGAGTCCTGCATCTCTTCCTTGGGGGTTCTCCATCACTGGGATGGTTTGTGTCTTCTCCCAGCTGCTCCTCCTCTCCTGAACATTCCTCTCCCTTCTTTGCTGCTGACAGCAGGCAGTCCTGTTGTACCTCTGAGAGAGCTGTGTCTGCACACTGCTGACCAGAATCTTCTGCTTTATTCATTGGACACACTGAATGCAATAGCCACGGCTTGGCAAACACAATTGCAACCAGTCTTATGCTATTGCCTCCTACTTCTAAAACCTGCTGCATTTCAATCAGGTCCTATGGAAAACAAAACAAGAATTATCTCAGGAAGTTACACCGGAAAAACATCAATATAACCAAGTACTGTGGAACTGCCATTCTTAACTAGCAGCAAAGAAAGACAAATTGCTTAGTGGGATATTCAGTTTTATGCTCCGTCGTGTCCCTTAAACTCTTCTGAAATTACAGCCCAAAACATTTTTGTTCAGCTTAAATTAATATAAAATGTAACTGGGAAAGAGTTCTTCCCCTCCAAAGGTGAATGTTGGTACCTCTGGGCTTCTGAAAAAGTTAATTCTTATCTTTGTGTTGCTTTAATTTTTGGCCTTCCTAATTATGAGGCAAGACTGCTATCAGACTATTGCTACGTTAACTCTTACCTAACAGGAATAGCTTTGTTCACTTTATATCAGCAAATACAACACACAGTCTAAGAGACTGTTCTGTTCAAGGGGACATGCAGACATTAAGGTATGGAAAGCTGCTGTCTGTTAAACCACCTGAATGTACTGCTGCAGGTTCCTGGTGCGTGCAGGTTCCTCCTCTTCATAGCTGCAGAACTGTTTGCCCAGCTCAGCTTTGCAAACCCCAAAATGGGAAGCAGCCTCTATTGCATTACGGACCTCCAGAACAGCAGCTACATCTCTGGGATTGTAGCCATAGCATTCTGTACACTCACGAAGAAACCGATCAACATTATAATTCTCTTCTTGGATTTTTATCAGCCTGGTAAAAGTTTTGGGAAGGGAGGAGACTCCCACAGCCATGTTATCAAGCGGAGAAGAAACTGAAAAATCAAACGAAAAACAAATGGTTAAGCAGTGATGCACTGTTACCATGCAACACACTATGGAAAGATAAATATTCAGAGACAGATCAGAGGTGTTCTGGACCGTTCTGATTAAAAACAGAGCTCAGCTTTCCATGTTCATTACTGCAGCTTCCTTCCTCCTCACGTATTTGTGGCTGACAAGGCCTGCAGAAGCAGAGCCAGCTGGTTTGAAGGGGTTTACTCTCTTATCAAAGTGAAGTA